ACTTTAACTACCCTGACTCAGTGCTAGGGAATCATGGGAACTGTAGTTCATTCTGGCACCAGAACTCTCTGACAGAGAAGGTTCAATGTCTCAGAAAAAAAAAAATATAATTATTCCCTAGCACTGAGCCAGGGCAGTTAAAGTGGACTCAATCTGCACTATTTCTAGCAGTCTGCAAAGGCCCTTATTTTCCAAATCTATCATTCTTAGAAGAAACAGCTCAGGTCTAAATATTATTTCAGTTTTCAATTTTTTTTCTTTTCTGTACCTCTGAGTCTCATGATCTTTCTGACAATTCCAGGACAACCTTTTTCAGTCTTACCTTTTCAAGAGCATTGCCAAAATAGCAAAGGAGATCACTGTGCAAATGTAACCTGAATTGCTTGGTTCTTCCCTAATCACATTTTTATTCCTTTCTCTTTATGTTTCAGTTGGAGCTCAATGCAATCCAACAAGAATATATAAGCCAGTGTTTTTCAACTGACGCTATAGCAATTTTCTCTTTATTACCCATGTCTTCTTGCGCTGTCCTTTCTAACAATGAATATAGTTCATGGGACACATTGCACTTGAAGGGTTGCTTACCACCTCCTTTTCAGTATTGTATGATAACATTAATTCTCACACCTTTCAGGCCAAGCCTCATCTTCACTTACATAGTGCTAAAGAATTGGTTATAGCCTTTTCCATTTACCCCAGAATCCTGCTAGTGCAGGAAATTCTAATAACTACTAGCCTTCTGTAGCCCCAGGAAGGTTAAATCTCAAACAGAAAAACTAAGATATGTGTAGTGACAGCCCATTAATCCATTCCCAAGATGGGGTCTCCTTAGCATCATTTCTAATAATTCATATCCCCTTGAGAGTTTTTCCTCTCTTTTTATCAAAAATGTAGTTGAATATCAAGCAAGATGTTTTTGTACTCCCACCCCCAATGATCTTCACATGGCCCTACCTACTGATGGATGAAGAACATTGCCTTGGACCAATCTTGTGCTTTGTAATGTTTTAAATTTAAAATTTTTTAATTGTCCAAATTTGTAGTTTTAATCTTCATTTGATTTAATACTGTTTTAAGGGGGGGAGGGATTGTGTTTTGGGATATATTGTATGGTTTTATTGTTGTAAGCCGCCCTGATTGGGTCCCCAAAGGGATATAAATTATTATTATTATTATTATTATTATTATTATTATTATTATTATTATTATGCCAATAGGCAGAAGAAGGAAATTAACTAATTAGAGTTTGGGGAGATCTTGGTTTTATTCAAAAACAGAATGCACTTGATTTGTTTTTCATTATTTCAGTGTCTTTAATCATTCATGCTAGGATTCTAGGTTTTGTCTAACAAACAATTTAGGTTAATTTTCAGAATTCCAGAAAAGATCTTGGTTTGTTTGTGTGTATAAATTCCCCATCTGTTTTCCATTGCCAGAACTATAGATAACCCCCACATATCAACCCCAAGCAAGTCTAATCTGCTGTCTCTTATGTCACTAAGTTCATGGCAGTTGTAACAGCTCTCTGATCAATGGAAGCTGAAAATAGTTGAAGGCAGCAGGAGCCTCCTGTAGATCAAAAAGCAAAATGGGACTATTTTGAAAGAAAAGCTAGGATTCCAGGTATTTCTGTTCATAGAAGCAGAGATACTTCTATGGGAATAGGAGAGGTTCATTGTCATCCCCCCTGCAGTGTCACTCTGCCACCATTAGCTGGTCAGAGTACTAGAAATCTCTCCAGAGAAGACCAGGTGGCACAGAGAGGGAGGGAAAGATATAGTCCATTGAGTGATTTATGCCAAGCATTGCCCTGTTTATGCAGTTTATATCATTGCATAGAGGGTTCCCCCGCCCCGTTGCCTCATCCCACTCCACATTCTCCTACACACAGACACTGCTCTCCACTCCAAGATGGAGAGGAAAGAAGGTCCATATATAACCTTAGTAAATCAGGAGCAGTAGGAATGGAGTAAACATGTCCCTTTATTTTAACAAAATGTGACCAATTCACACACACACAAACACACACACACACCATGTTTCCTCTAGATTACCAGGTATTGAGAAACTTTCTTCTCTTAAAAAGTCATGGAAAAAGATTTAAATGCAGAGAAAAGAGATTCCTAAGACCAATAGAACTTAAGGAAAACCAAATGCTGCTTCAGCCCAAAGGCCAATTTATACCAGTACCATACTCTGTTCTCACAACCAAAGGCTTCTTGGACATGTGAGCACAACAGTGTTCTCCTATTCACATCCCTAGCATATTCTCATTGGTAGTAAAGGCAATTTAAAGCTTTTTTAATAGTACAGTGGAATTAATATTCTTTTTGTCCATATTAAGTCAGCAAGACCCATGCTTATACCTGAACCATATTTCTCTGGGAAAGAAAACCGAAACTTAATATAAGGAAACTATTTATGTAGTTGCCCCTCCAGTTGAGAGCCAGTGTGGTGTAGTGGTTTGAATGTTGGGCTATGATTCTGGATACCAGGGTTTGAATACCTGCTCAGTCAAGGAAACCAACTGGGTGTCCCTGGGTAAGTCACACTCTCTAAGCCTCAGAGGTAAGCAAAGGCATCTGAACAAATTTTGCCAAGAAAACCTGTGATAGCTTTGCCATAGTCCTACTGTAAGTCAGAAACAACCTGAAAGCACACATTAAGAACAGCAACCAGTTCTATCTCCATTCCAATGGATGAGGAGTTAGTGTTGAGTCAGAAGTCTTTTGGTGCTCAGAGGTCTTTTACACAATGGCCCACAAGAGAAGAATTCAAGCCACTCAACAGTCCACTGAGAACACTCTCCCCTATAATTGACACATGCTGTCTAAAGTAACTTTGGCACCTGCTTATCCATTGAAAAAGGATACTTTTCAGATTGTACATCCCAAGGATGTAGACAGGTGAGAAGTACCACATATGCTGTAGTTCCTTGTTCTTTATAAAGGGCAGGGAATGGGGATAAGGGGCGGTGTCTTTCAAGGTGGATAAAGGAATGCCTATGTAAAGATGAGTGCCAACGTGCCTAAAGGAAACTGTTGTAAAACCCTTTTTTAAAACCTTTTCTGTGAATCCCACAGTACTAGATAACTACCAACCAGTTTCTAATACCCAATTTCTGGGCAAGGCAGTGGAGCATATGGTGGCCTACCAGCATAAGGGGATACTGGAGAGATGCATTATCTAGACCCATTATAATCTGGCTTCAGGCCTTGTTATGGGATGGACATGGCTTTGGTTACCTTGATGGATCCAGTACAGTGGGATTCACAAAAAAGGTTTTAAGAAAGGGTTTTTACAACACCTATGGTGGGAGCTGGACAAGGAGAGTGCATCCATGATGTTTCTGCTAGATGTCTTGATAACTTTCAGTGCCATCACGCATGGTACTGATGGTACTCGGAGCCACTGTTCTTTGTTATCTCCATTTCCTTCTGCCCTGAAGGTGATGATGAAGGATTTCTGCTTGATTTCTTGGTCATTGTCTCATGTAATCTGTCAAAGTTTCATTCTGTCTGTTCCATTCTGCCCCCTGTATGAAACCACTGGAAAAGGTCCTCTGGAGCTTGTAGTTCTAATGCTAAACCCAAGGAAGCAGTTTCAATTCTAAACCAGTGTCTGCCAGCAGTAATGGACTGGACAAGTGAGAACAAATTGAACAAATAATCAAGACAAGTCAGAGGTTCTCCTGGTCAGCTAAAAAGGAGATCAAAGAACAGGAATTCAGCTTGTGCTGGTTGTAGGCTGAATCTCCCCTGAAGATTCAGATAATAAGTTTGGGGAAAGTACTGCATTCCATCTTGATTGTTGTTGCTTGAGTTTCAGTGATTTCCATGCATGAATTTGCACATTTAAAACTACTGTGCCAACTGCACTAATTTCTGGACATGTTTAACATATACATTAGTTACATCCTGTAGGGTTCCTCTGCAAGGCTGCCTTTATGGAATGTTTAGAAACTTCAACTGGTCCAAAGAGCTGCAGTAGACTTTAACCATATATTGTAGGGGGCATCCAACTTCTTTGTTATGACAACATATCAATCCGCTTGATTGACAGCTATCAATCCGCTTCTAGGTACAATTCAAAGTTATTGTTGTATAAAGCCCTATGAGGCTCAAATCTAGGCTTTTGGAAGGACAGTATTTTCTCATATGAGCCAATCTGGGTGCTGGAATTTTCAGGGGAGACATGTCTGGTAAGAATACAGGAGAGGGCCTTCACAGTAGTGCTTCCGGACTAAGTTCCTATCTTAGGTTCAGACATCCTTGCTGTCTTTCTGCCAGAAGACAAAACATTTTCCCTCAAAAGGCATTTGAAAATTGACCAAAATAAGCATTTTTTTAAAAAAAATACCTGCTTTGTAATGTGTTTACATATCGGTGTTTACATAATGTGTAATGTGTGTGTAATACCTGCCATGTAATGTATATTTTAAATGGCGTTAATTTTATAAATACTTTAACTATATTTCAACTATTTTTGTACTTATCTACAAATGTGATAGAAATAGCAATGCCATTCTAATTCATATTTGCTGAACTGTGGAAAGAAAACAGATTACAGCTCTGGCTATACCTGAAATATACTTAAGATTCATAGATGCAAAATGGTCTTCCTTGCCTTCAAGAAATATTAGTAATCGCATGTTAGTGTTCAGAATCTTAAACATCATAATCAAACCAACAAATTTTGTTTCCACACTAGGTCTTTTCTCAGGAATTGCCATCTTTGTTTACTGTCTTTTCACAAGGAATCACCATTAAACCAATCTTAAAACAAAGTGTATGGCTGTGTTTTCCCCTCATATTTTTTCCAGACCTGATTTGTGGTGACATACTCAGTGCGAATAGGCAAAGTGCTATTAGGGATTTCAGAAGAAATGTTCTTTTAAATCTAACTCTTCCATTCAGGTCTCTTTAGCCTGATTATTGTTTGCATGGTCTGAAATACTGCTGAATTTCTTCTTATTTAGTCAGCTTTTGCCCCCCATAAAATGTGTGTCTGGGAGGATATCCCATTATTGGGGTTCTTTCTGCTCCTTCTCTTTTCTTTCCATTATTATGAAACAGTACTGTTTTGTAGAATTCTTTCAAAGTGACCATTTTTTAAAAAATTGAAATGAATGTATGGCAGGTGAGTGGATTGAGGATGAAGCAAAGGAAGAGGTCCCAAAAACACCATTCAAAGACAGGGCTAAATGACAGGAAAGAAGCTATCAAAAGGTGGTGCTGCCGTGATTCCAGAAAGGCAGTAGAGGACAATGGTGCTTCATTTTCTAATTGGAAGGCAAGTGGCTTGATGTAGTCTGGAAAACTTTTGAGGAGATAAGAGAGAGGAAGAAAGGGAAGAAAATAAATGACTCACATACCAAAGTTTGGAATGCTGTTTTTAAAAAGTAATTTATTTCCTTACCCATTGGAGGAACATATGGTCAATGTATTATCATTAGAGGGGTTCCCTTGAGTAGCAGCCTTTTAATTATGGTGCCACATTAGCTTGCTTGTTATGTTGCCACAGATGGATTATTTCTACTTATATTAAATGATAGGGCAATGGGGTTGTTGCTCCACCTTTTACTTAAAACAAGTAATTCTTTACTTTTTTAAAACTCTTTACACCACACTCTTTACTTTACACTCTTTACACAGCACATGACCATGGTTCCTGCTGCAAGTCTTCTTAAAAGAAGTTCCTTTACCAGTTCCCTTCCTTTTCACCATCACAGTAGAGTAAGCAACACAAAGCATCTCTCCATGGGAAGTGTGGTTATTAGGCATTTCATGCTTCCTGTGGCCCAGTGCTTCATATTGCTCTCTAGTGCCTTGCCAAGTGGGGATATAGGAAGAGATATGCAAACATTTCTTAGTCATATTCATGTCCTGACTTTCATACAGTAAGCACAAAGCTGCATAGTGTCACTCCTGTTTTCTAACTTATCTGCACAAGAATACTGTGGGGTAGATGTGACTGAGAATAAATGGCCCAAGATCACTAGTGAGTTTCATGTTTCAGCATCAGGTTCCCAAGCTGTAGTGCAACACCTTACCACACCATTAACAGCTATACCATGCATTAAACAGCATACTGCCACTATTGCATATGCAGGCTCTTATTAGAGGCAGACACTACAAAGAGCCTTACAATGATGAGCTTTGGGCATTGGCTGCTTTAACAGAACTTGGAAAATGCATTGCTGAAGTTGCTGTAATGTTGTTAGCTCTAGTTTTTCTTTATCTTCTGCATCCTAATTGTTCTGCCTGTTAGAAATGTCACTTGGCATTGTTCAGTTCCTTGATTTCCTCAATAATAACTTTGCCTATGTATCCCTACCTCCCACATACATACATATTGATGCTAATTTGGGCTTACATTATTGAAAAGTAACTATGGGGTGGGTGATGTTATAAAAAATATTAATTCAGATTAAGGAAAACTGATCATCTTCCATTGTGAATTCTTTCTCTGTTCTTCAGTATAGAGTTCTGGAATCCTGTGATTCTGTGAACAAACAGGATTTCTGAAGAGCTGTTTGTTTTTGGAAAACTGGGTTTATTACTGTTCAGAATAAAATGCTGAATTAATTGTGCAGCGAGAAAGAGAAGATAAGCAGTGCTTAGTTTTTTAGGTGCACATAACTGCATGCTGTCCATTTTGAAAACATTATTGCAAAACAGATTCTTTTTATGTGTTCTGAATGAAAGCTCAACATAAATGAACGAACAATATCAATATAGATATTGAAAGCTGGCCATATGACAAGTAATGGCTTTATTAAATGCCATCCTATCATCTTTCTCTTTCTCACATCCCTCACACCTAGATGACAAGCTAAAGGACATCTTTCACCTTAATAAATTGTTTACCAGGGGCATTGCAGATCAAATGAAACACTCCCCCATAAACAAAGATAAAGCCCAAAGGATGATTGCATTGCATTCTGCCTCCCGGTGTTCTTTATGGCATTTTTTTCCAAGAAAAAAATTTCTGACAGCCTAGTGTTTATGAAAGTATAATTAATGGGGGGATCTTTTCTGTATTCCAGGATGGAATGGGGAATCTAAGAATCACAGAAAAAGGTTTAAAGCTAGAAGGAGATTCAGAATTCTTGAAACCTCTCTACGCCAAAGAAATCCGGTCCAGTACAGTAAGTTACCCAGAATGCTGTTTTTTGAAATTCTGTTTCTGTCTTTCGGTTTTGAAAACATGTCACTACTAGCACAATCAGTTTATACTGTAATTATATATTAGATAGACTGCTCTACGGGAGGATAATTACTGGCTCTGGCTGCATTTCTATGTGGAGCAAAAAGGAATTTGCATCCCTGTAGCTGAATGGTTAAGAAGCTTCCAGAGCTTCTGGGTTCTGTTTTTTTATGTCTTCTTAGATCAGAAAAAAAAGATCCTACTTAGTCCAGTAGCACTCTGATTTCAGCCAGGACAGTGATATACTGTAGAAAACACCTGTAGTATTTGGATGCCTACCAGCTTCTGTTTGGTAACTGTGCCCCTAC